CCTACTATCAGCCAACTAGCAATAGTCTCCGCCGCGTCTGTCCTGTTTCTATCCGCAATACCAAGTCTATGACTTACTAGGCCCTAATCTCTTATGTTAAAACACACAAACATTGTGGTTCAACATTGAACCTGATCAAAGCAAGCAGTACCACAATATTTGTGGGCTGGCGCACAAGAGATTATGACCTAGTAAGTCATGGACTTGGTATTAGGGATAGAAACAGGATAGACGCGGCGAAGACTGGAGCTAGTTGGCTGACAGTGGGCCTGTTTTACTATAGACGTGGTCCATATAACAAATGTTCTACCATAAGACTTATTCAGAGGCATCCTTATTCGAATTAGTAACCCAGACGCAAGGGATGGGTAATAGCGCCTTGAGTAGCACAGATGGGATGGCAGGGCTCAAATGAAATACTTAAACCAGGGATATTACAGAGAAATCCCACGGGGCAAGAGGGAGATTCTGATAAGACCTAGCGAAGGCTGACGGCGTAACAGCATGGCAATCTCTGATCGTCATTCCCAGCACAAGGATGAAGGAAGGTGAGAACTCCAGTCTGGAGTATGGAGGGTCCTCATGAAGGCTGCTCAAAAGGGAACACCATACTAGATTTAAATAAGCAAGGAAAATTTGTGATATTGAAAGCGTGATACGAGGATATAAGATAGGTAAATAGCCAGGAAAAAAAGAGAGGTACCACAAATATTTATCCCACATTTGGTCAGAGGATCAGCTTCACTTATCTATCTGACGAGTTGTAGTATGGTGCTAAGAATGACAAGACTCACTGATTATGTCAAGAAAAGTCTAGGAATGTACCACATCCACGGTCTGACTTTGGAAATTATCATGCATAAAATGGACTCCGGACTAAGTGCGTTCTTCTAAGTCCAAGGTCAAACAACTTTTATAGTTTTCTTGGCTATAATGCAGCTAGAAGACAATTGACAAGCAGTTGCAGGTACAAAGAGTAACTGGGCTTCAATAAATGAGATAACATTGTTGAAGAGACTTCAATTCCGTTTGAAATTACATAAAGAAGCGATTCTAAGGTCAATCTCAACAAAAGACGACGGCAGATTCCCGTTGTATTGCAGCCTGTCTTACCCGAAACGAGGGAGGATGTCTCGTAGACTGTGCTAAACTCAAAATCGTATTAACTCCAAATGACTGCAGTACAACGGGAATCAGCCGTCGTATTCTGATGAGATCGAACTTCGAATATTTTCTTCATGCACTTTCATACAAAATGAAAGCCCCTCCAACCATGTTACTTTGGGAGATTAATCAAAATCCAGTTACTCTTCGCGAAAAATATATCTCAGCCCTTTATCACATAAAACGAAAATAAGTAATGTAATCGAATGCTATAGCAAATATAACTTTGCTTCATTGACAATTCCACCACAGAATGTGATAAGAGAAAATGCACAGCCTTACTTGAAATTCACATTTCCCCTGTGAACCAAGGATACTCGTAACAATGTGGCGTAATGGTTAAGAGGTTGAGATTATACACTGCACTGCTATGGTTCGAGTCTTCTTTGGGGTGCCAATGAGACGAGGTCGAAAATGCAGTCAACCTACTCATAGTTGTGGTAAAATTCGATTAGAATAGTTAGCCAACCAAATGTTTTAAAAATAGTAATGACATAACATGTGATTTGAGTATTTGATGATAGAGTCAATACAAACGCGCTACTGAAATTTACTGTTTTCGATGACATGACCCTAACTGCTGGCGAACTCTTGCCATTTAAAATATTTAAGAAATTAAGCAATATCCCCATTTTTATTACACTTTATGATCATGAAGCAAACTGATTTATGAAATCAATAGGAAGTTCGGGATTAATAACAATATATGGCCCATTTCATTGATCTCCCGGTGATCAACCAAAGATCGGAAATAGAAAGCTCCCCCCAAATCAACAAAGTCCGGTCCAAATTAGGAAGAAAATAATAGCTTTTTCACAGCATGAAGAGGCTGGAATACAAATTGGCAAGAATTTTTCAGGAATATATATAGGTTGTCGTAGTCTCGAAAACCAACTTATTAAACAAGAAAAATTTCCAGGAATGTTTAGATTGAGGCTCCAGCTAGCTACCGGCTATTCCATATTTTTGGTATGGCATTAAGGATGAGATTTTGTAGGTATGAAGTACCTTCAATGCTCCCTGTCGCTGTCTAGCAGTCGTCTCAGAAGCATCTTCGCCAGAACTAGTAAACTCTCCTTGGTCTAGAAGATCCGCACTAACCTCTGCTTCGCTAAGCCAAGTGTTCGCATCTCGCTGGCACTGGTCAAACAACTGTGCTAAGGGAAGCGTTTGCTCCAACCGGGCTTCCAGCCAAGTAAGCCGATCCTCTGCTTGGCAGGTCTGTCTTGACACTTGGCCAAGCACACCAGCCAAACTGGCTTCCAACTCACTCATCTAGATGTCAAAAATCATAAATACAAAGAGCAAACAATTTATGCTTCAATATACTTAAAAATTTTCATGTTCATAAATTTATATTCAGAAATAATAACTATCCTAAAAAAGTTTAGTAAGTTCTGATTTTTAACGATACTCGCAAAAACAATTCCAAATAGATAAATAGTGCAAGATGGCAACAAAGTCCAAATAAAAAAAAAGCGTATGACAAAGAGCCAAATAGTCAAGGAATATGAGCTGATGGACAGAGACAGTTTAAAATGAAAAAAGAAGGTACTCAATGAGTTTAAATATGCATATCCATGGGTCGAGTGCTCCAAGCGATACATAAGTATCAACATGGAATATAGGTTCGGAATAGTTTAAAGAGAAGAGCCAATAAGTTATCAGTCAAAATGGAGTAGTATTAGCAAAAATAATTAAGAAGTCAACCTATAAACTCGTTGAGATTATCTGATGAGAAAAGCTGCTTTGAAAAATATTTTATCTAGGATCTTCGTTGGTACTGATCAGATTCGAACGGTGTCGAAACTGCAATCCACCCATGATGGGAATACATTTTGAGAGGCAATAGAAATGAGGCGTAATAGAAACGTAAAGCCCATCCATATGATTGTTGGACAATTCAAGTGCCAGTCCTTTATCACCTTATGCAACCTAGAGTGACGAGAATGCTGATTCAAGATTTATTGAAACCTATAAATTAAGTACATAAAAAAATATAATTTTTTGTGTAAAACAAAACAAAACTCTGAGATATTTTATGAGATTAGTAACAAGTCTAGAGCCACAAAGGTTATTTCAGGGAGTAAAAAGGATGAGATATGCAGCAAAGGTTGTCCCAACCAGAGTAAAATATCGTCCAAATCCGCATATATAAATTTAAGAAACCAATTTTTAAAACAAAAAGTAAACTCTGAAATATCGAAAATGATAACAAAAATAGTGTATATTCGTATTAGAGTAGGGTTTCGAGACTACCAGTAAATCAGTGTGATGATATGTATTCACCCTATTTCGTGTAAGGTGATGAAGGACGGGTAGTAGAATTTTCCCACAATGATATGAGTT